AAACTCCACCAAGAAAGACCCCCAGCCCAGATTCAATCCGGCAACCTTCTCTCCGAGAGACCAGCTGATGTGAAACACCTGTTTTTATTTTCAGTATTATGCTTCACATTTTCACTGCATCATGTTTCAAGCACCTTTTGAAGAAACTTTTTGCAGCTGGTAAAACTAAGGTTTTCAAATCCAGTCACTTTCAGAAGACAAACGTAGACACACCAAACGAAACCGTTTGAAGATGTCATTAATAAATGACGAGCCTCCTTAAACAGATCAGAGAGAGGAGAACAAAGACTGAGCTGTAGTCGTGTTGCTACACTAACTGCTTCAGGTGAGCTCGGTGAAGTTATTTTCACACAGAAACAGGGAACACCAGAAGATGCCACATCATGTATTTTAATGACTTTCAATATCATCTTGACATCAAAATTGTTCTCTCTAGGACTGACCACTTTATGCAGTTGGCTATTGGACTTCCTGTCAGACTGCACACAGTACATCAGAGTTGGTCAGCATGTGTCCTCCACTATAACCATTAACATTGGGGCTCCCCAGGGATGTGTGCTTAGTCCCCTACTGAACACAATATACAGCCTTGATTGCTCAGCCTCCTTTATGTCCCTGTACACCATCTCTTCCAGCTCCTTCCTTTAGGTATAAAATTTCAAACCACTAGATTAGCCCACAGCCTCTACCACTAAGCCGTGAGGCTGCTGAACCTATTTAGCAATTTTGGTCATGTTTTTCTCTTTGAGAATGAATGTAGGTCTCTTCATCTTTGTACAAGATGATTGATTGTTTTGAATGGGTGTGCTCTGCACATGTTAAAAACCTGCTTCTGAGATTCCAACAGGAGGTTGGCTTGAAACACAGCAGTGAAGGCTATGGGACAGATCTGGTTGGCAGGCCGTAGACTGAGGAAGTCCTCTGGATGGGGAACAAAACATTTCTCACTTAAAGAAACTGGTCTAGATGACACAATTTAACATTTTTTTATGTCTCTTTGCATCCTTCAAACCCTTTGTTCTTTTGAAAACTTTTACTGCTCATTTCAGTTTTTGTTTTGCTTCAGCTTTTTTGGCTCAAACTAGTTTCTATTTTGCTAATGTCAGATTTTTTTGTAACTTATTCGGCCTCTCTCTACCTATTTCAGCTTCTTCTGCTCATTTCTGCTCCATTCAGCCTTTTCTACATATTTCTACAGTTTTTTTCTGCTTTCTTTCTGCTTTTCTCTTCCTGCTTTCAGCAAATGTCATCTGTTCAAACTCAGCTCTCATTAACAGTTTAGCAATGAAACCTTTTCAACTGATTTCAGCTTCTTCGGCAGTTTTCAGCCAAATTCATACAGCAATAATTCACACTCCATTTTGGCAGGAAATGCATTTTCTCTAGTTTTTACTTTATCCAACTGATTCATCAGATCAATTTTTAGCTACTTGTCTTAAGGGTATTCCAAAGAAATGCGTGTAGATTTGAAAGATAGACTGAAAGTCGGCTTGAAGAAGTTTCGGTGAAAACTTGAAGGGACTAAGGAGCCGCATGTGGCCCCTGAGCCGCAGGTTGCAGACCCTTGCACTGTACATTTCTTCAGTTTTTCTTTTCTCCCTGATGTAAAACTGCAGATCTGACAGTGAAAGCACCACAGTGAAGGATCAGTGCATCTTTAGTGCGACCTTGCTTGTCTCCGTATGAACAGATAGCGAAACAACCGGAGCCTGAACTGGAGCAGATGGAGTGTGAGTTTCTCCTCCGAGTGCACAGAGAGAACAAATTTAGATAATAGCTCACAGCTAATCCACAGCACACCAAAAAGTCATTACTGTTTAGGAAAGAAAGACGCAAACTCGCTCCCCGAGATGGAAAGAAATCCTTCTCTGAAGGTGAAGACCTTGACTCAAGCTGCCTCGTTTTCCTCATGTGTGAAATTTCTTTTGTGCACACTTCAGCGGATTTAACTCGTCTTTATTGACGCCGAGCTTCGAAGCACCTGCAGCCCCTCGGACACCCACTAACACACCCACGATGCACGCAGAGCTGAGAGGTTATCCGCTTTAATTAGAGGCTCCATGAAAACAAATCTTACTGTTTACGACTTTAACTCAGCTCAGATCCTGGAAAACAAATGACCGCACCGCAGTGAAGTCACCCTGACACTAACGAGGACTGTCAACACGGCCCTATTTGAGCTTAATGTATCATTTTTAACACAAAACAAGATAAAAATGTAAAAACAAGCGTGCATGAATAGAGACATTCGGGGTGAACACGCAGAGTGGGATGAGCAGAACGGGAGAAAACTAAAACCATTGCAGCAGTGACGTCACATCAAAGCAGCTGCAATGAAACCCAACCGCTTAAGCCTTAAAATAAACAGGAAGGTTTTAGGTCGGAGTGTAAACGGATAGAAAACAGGCGCTCAAACACTTTTTTTTCCCGAGATCTTATTCCATCATTTCTGTTAAAGTTTGTCCTGTTATTGCTGTGGAGTCTTAAATTTACACGTGTTGTGTTCTCTTTAGTTGCATTGTCGCTTCACTTCCTGTTTCGGCCGCGCCTGCTTTCTGTTTTCGATCAGCTCCGCTGCAGACAGCTTTCTGTTGCCTGCTTCTTATTTATCCTCATCAGTTTCTGTTTGCACCTTCATTGTTTCAAGTGGCTCAAATCTGACTTTTCTGAGATCCAAATGGAATTGTTTTTATGACGCTCTAAACACCAAGAGACTTGGATTTATTTAATATCCGCCGTTTTTCAGCGCCCTCGGTCTGAAGGCTCATGCTGCATCCTGTGTGATGTCGCTGAGGCGTGAGTGGACGGGAAGCCGAACGATCGAACGTGAACATGACACAGAAGGCCTTTTGTTAAAACTCGTGCTCTGTGTTGTCCTCGTGCTTCTTTAATTCATCACTCGGTAATCATTTTGTCGGCTCCAATCTCACTTCAGAATCCAGCCACACGCCGACGAGTAGCGTCCATATTTACTTCAGTGAAGACAACGGGTCACAACATTGCAGTCTGATGGAGGTATTATAGAAATGATGTGAACAACTGTGCAAAAAGCAAAGCAAAAGTCAGAATTGGGCTTTAACGCCTGCAGCCTGGAAAAAAAAAAACTTGCTGTGGATCCATTCTGGTCCTAAATCTACCTCCAGATTTGACATTTCTCACTTATTACCCAGATTGCTTTGATGCTTAAAGGAAACGTGTTTGTGTTGCAGGTTTGACCTCTGCCTCTTTCTGTATTTAAGAGGCCGGTGAGGAGCTCGCAGTCTTCCTGATGCTCCGGTGGTTTCACTGCTTTATGCTCTAAGATGTCATTAGTGTCAGGCATGTTTTATCACTCACTAACTGAGGTTAGGGTGACTGGTGTAAGTTTCTGACTAAATAAAAACAGTGTAATTTTGTCTGGGTGTTTTCTCTGCTGGTGTTGATCTTAATTTTGGACAGAACTCAACAGGAAAATTGTGGAAATATGATTTTATTCAACTGTCAGGATGAAAAATAATACAAATTTAAATCAACTAAATATTCGCCTATTCAGATTTAAACAATTTTTTTAGGCCCAAAAGGGACAATATTAGTAGATTATTACCCTAAACCCATAATACTTTATGTAATATTTGAATAAATATCGTGCAAAAGCTGATTATTTTTTGTTTTAATTAATGTAAATAGCAAAATAAAGCAGATGAGGAATTTAAATAAAACTCTGGAGTCAGTTCACTCCATCCAATATGGCTGCCGCAGCTAATCAAGTTGAGCCAAAAGAAAAAAAGCTGCAACAGTTTGGTTTACTCATTCTGAGGTAAACTTTGGTGTGGTAGTAGCTGAGAGTCATCGTCAACACATACCGGAGATGTGTGCTACTATTTAGCTTTTTTTATGCTAATTTTAGCCTTTTCAGCTAACTCCACTTTTGTTGCCCTCAGTTCAATATGTTTCAGCCTAATTCAGCACAAAAGTGCTCTCTCCACCTCGTTCTGGTAACGTAAGGTTCTTTTGGCTTTTTTAGCTACTTTTCAGCTGTTGTTGTTGTTGTTGTTGCTAATTTCAGTTTTTTTTCAGATAATTTCCACTTTTTTGTGCACATTACTTTTTTCTTTCAGCTCAATTGGTCAAACGCGTTCTTTCTGCTTTCTTATGCTAATTTAAGCTTTTCTACCTTTTCAGCTAGCTTTCTAGCATATGTTAGCTAATTTCAGCTGTTTTCAGATAAATTCAAGCTTTTCATGGAAATCTCTGCTACTTTCAGTCTAATTGAATTATTTCTGCTAATTACAACTCGTTATGCTCCTTTCACCTTATTTCTTCCAGTTTCAGTTATTTCAGCTACTATTTAGCTGCTTTTATGCTAATATTAGCTTTTTCAGCTAATTCAATTTTTTTGCGCTCATTTCAACTTTTGTGCTATTTCTGCTTTCTCCTGCTGATTTACACCTGTTCTCCATTTCAGCTGTTTTTAAGCTAATTTCAGCTGTTTCTCAGCTAATTCTTTCTGCAACAAGCATTGCCACAGGAAATGCAATTTCTCTAGTTGGAATGTTAAAGCAGATATGGATGAATGTCTTGCTGTCTGTAAACAGAGTGAGCCCCCCCCCCCCCCCCCCCCCCAGCAGCTCCTCTGCACCATCCTCATTCTGACACAGGACAAGCAGCTCGTTCTGGTGATCTCCTGTCCGGGGATCCACTGCAGCACTTACAGAACCGTTCATTAGATTCAGTCTCGATTAAAACCTGCTGCAGGAGGAGGCGCGCGCTCAGCACGCAGTCAGACACGCACAGACACCTGACTGATGATGGAACTGATCCCCGGTCAGCAGGCTGCGGCCATTTAGCCACAAAGGGTTTGGTCAACAGTAGGTGGCCCCGGGGCCACCTGCGGCCCGTGCGCGCACCCAGAAAGGACAAAAGGCAGCAACGAGTTTCTCAAAGAGAAGTGGCAACATTGAAAAAGCGCGTTTTGAGCTAAATGCAACGCGCCCCAGCAGATGAATGAGGGCTGGACTCACCTCCCAACGCTTGCTTCATAACGAAATTCATGCTGATGGCTTTAGATTCCCCGCCGTCTCAGTCCGAGCGATGTTACATTCAAGTGTCGCAGGAAAGTGGAATTCTTCAGATCTAAGACAAACAAGAAGCTGTTAGACACATTTCAGTCTCCTGCAGAATGAAAAATGTTCTTTAAACGGTTTGGTTCTGTCGAAATGAAGAGCTGCGCTGAGGGAAAGCTTTTACAGATGAGAGGCGGACGCTGCTCGGGTGCGTGTCGCTCTGAAGGACACCAAGGTCAGTGGTTCGAGTCCAGACAGAGGAGCTGCTGCTCCTGGGTGTTTCAGTGCCGATGTGGCGCTTTTTAACACACTCAGGGAGTGAGAGCCTCCGAGCTCTGACTTTTAAGCACGCGCCCGGTGGAAGTCCTCAGCACGGCAGGACGCGCCGTGCTCGCGCATGTAGACTGAACCACTCATCCTCCCGATCATGTGGTAAAACTTTCCATCCTTCATCGGAAGAGGGGTTGGGGGGGGGGGGGGGGGGACCCTGACCGGCCACAGCCATCCCATTCCGGCTCGAGGAAGCGTCACACGCGCGGCACGTTATCAAGCAGAGAAAACCCGAGCCGTGCACGCTGAATGCACACGGTGTGCAGCAGGAGAGGCTTTCAGAACCGACCTGTGCGCATGCAGACACGGGTGATGGGGAAAGCACACACACGCACATGCACTTCCTGGTTCCGATCAGAGGTGGATTTCAGCACGCGCGCGCCCGGATAGCTCCACAAGCCGCCTGACTGCGCTGCACGAGCCGCATCAAGCAGCGGTTTACCTCCGTCCGGCGGCTGGCAGAGACCCCCCCCCCCCCCCCCC